AAGAAATTTTCTTCGACGAATTTTTAAAATCGTTTACCTTTAAAACTAGATCTTCGATGTATAATAAATTTTAATCTGAATGCTAGATTCATTTTCTCACGAAGAATAGCCAAGTCAAGTAGCAATATCAGTTAATATTCAGACATAGTCCCACAGCCGCTAGCCGTGACGAATTTTTAATGTCGATTATCTTCAAAAGTAGCTTTCCTAGAAAGAAATTTTATTTCGCATTCCAAAGATTCGTTTCCCCACGAATAGTAGCCGACTCAAGTAGAAATGTCAGGTGCTAGTCCGACATGACCACTCAGCCGTATACATCTTCGAAGAATTTTCAAAGTCGATGATCTCGAAAACTAAGTGTTGTGTGAAGCTCTTTTATTCGACATTCTAGATTCGTTTCCTAACGAAGAATCGCCAACTCAAGTAGAAATGTCAGTTAATAGTCAGACGCGGTCAATCGGGCCCACTAGCACAATACAGCTATAACTTTATAATCGAAACGCGCAAAAGCAGTGGTAATGGTGAGTTTAGAAATAATCCAGAAATATTAACACATCTCAGATACCATCAACGATAAAACGAATGCACCCGTAACATTGATGCTACCCCCACCGAAGATAATTCAGAGGATCCAAAACGGCAAAGTCCCGTCCACTGTTCTCGATCATTTAAACGAACAGCTCGCCTCGTTTTCGTGGGGCTTTCGAATCAATCCGATCGGTGAACGACCAGCGCAAAAGGAGTAAAGGAAAATTAAATGACGTTTTTCGTGCCTCCCCGACCCCGACCCCTCCTCCCCCCCCCCTCCCGCGTTTCTTGTTCCCCGGCACAGACGCGATAACCAGCCCGGGGGCACAGCGATAATTGTCGAGCCGTAATTTTTCGCCCAACGCCGAAATCGACCGACCAAATCCCGCCTCGCGTTAACGCCCAAGCGGGTACGCGCTCGCTCTGGCAAGGGCTCGCTTTAACCGTACAAAAGCGAGCGGACCAGGCCTCCACGGCCAGGGCAAATGTGTCCGAATGAAAATTCTATAATTGGATCGTCTGCTCGTTAGCCCCTCCATCCCCCTTCTCCCCTCCCCTCTCCCGTCCCCCACGAATCGACTTCCGTTAACGCTTCGAACGAACGTTGAACGCCAGCACGAACGGAGAAAAGCGAACCGTGGAACAAAAGCCGGGCGCGACGTTCGACACTGGAAACGACGAAAAAGTACCAGGAGAACGGTTAAACGCGGGGAAAACCGCTTATTCAAATTGCGCCTGGCCCCCCAACAGGCGAGCCAAGTATCGCGCGGCAGTTAGAAATTCAACGGGGGCGACGCATTTGCATGGACGTTCGACCGCCGGCGCCAATCAGTGAAACGTTGTTAAAGAAACGAACGTCTCGATTGGTGCGTTCACCGCGAATGGAAAAGATACCGGGAGAGAGAAAAATATAATAACGAGGTTGCTGGAAAGTTTTTCGGGGGCCGCGTAATTTCCGGGTTGGCGTGTACAAATCGATCGTTCGCAAATCGATAGACTCCGCTTTTCGAAAAATTTTCACGTCCTCCTGTGAAGGCGTTTGAAAAAAAAAAAAGTCAATTTTAAAGACTCGCTACGTCGCCATCATTTTTCTACTAAAATCATGATACAACAATTTTTATTTATACTTCAATATGTCTCGAATAAATCCTGCAAAAAGGAAATCCTATTTCTTTTGCGATCCTCTCAAAATTAATTATCAAAGTCAGGCCTTTTTTTCACCCTCTAAACCGCTGTTACGCCCTTAAGGCCTTTAAAATACTTCATAACATTTTTAATACAGCCGTTTTCAACCCCTTCGACTCAACTCCTTTCACGTCTACAGTAAAACGATTTCAAAGCAGCTAGAAACGCGAAAACTGTCCAAACGACGTTCTGTTTATTTTCATCCCCTCCTCTCCCTCCGTCGCCGGTAACAGCGACACGTCCGTTCCAGTTATTGTCAGCGAATCGGTTATCGAGGTGTACGGCATCGTTCGAGCGATAGATTAAACAACCGCGATTAAAGCCTTCCCAGTTTGTATTACTTCTGGGCCCGACAGCATATAAATTGGGGGTGTCGCGGTAATCCGAGATAAAATGTCGGCGAACGCAATAATGTATAAAAAGTCGGATCGATATTTAAACGGCAAACGGAGATTACGCGGAAGGCAATCGCGCAGCCCCGATCGCGAATTATTTGTCAGAACCGGGCGCGATTCGCTCGGCCGGGAAGATAAATTGGTCCGAGATTCGAATCGATCGGTAAACCGAAAACAAGATCGCGCGATACTTGGAACGAATCAGGATGGGAGTCTTCGATTCGACGAATTATTATTCAGAAAATACTACTGTTTTGTTTGTATCGTAAAAGTGTCCAATGACGAGCTTAAGCGGTCAAGCAACAGGAATATAAAAAAAGAAGAATTTATTTTTAAATTCATCCTAACGTAGAAAAAAAAAAAAAGAAAAAGAATACACCCATATCTCTATAGCTTCAACGGTTTACCTATTAAAATCGAGATACCACGTGACGCAGGAATAAATGAAGTCATGGGATCCCGGTTAGAGGAAAACCGACGCAGAGACGGCGGTATCACGAGTGATCGCCGTAATCGTTCCGCCATGGGGATAAAACCGTGAAAGGGGTGGTCATCAGGGGCTGGAAAAGGAGTCGGGGAACAACGAGGGGTGGGATCCCAGGTTCGTAGGATAATTTCATGGTCCAGTGCACGAGCGACTAGTCGGCTGACCGCTCGATGCGCGCACGCAACCAAGCCGCGCGTGCACCAACGAATTTCTCCCTAGTGCGGTTACGTCCCCGCTGTAGTTCCCCAGATGCATCCTGGTCGTATATACGCCACCGAGTCCTACGACCTGGCGCACGTGGTCGACGAAATTCGTGGCAAAACAGCCGAGTACAGCCGCCTCGAAGATTTAACAACGATCGTGTATGGAGCTCTCGACCGAAGGAACCGGAATTACTAAATCCGATGTGAGTCGACGAAGAAAATTCACTTCGATTTTATTTATACGGACGAAGCATTTATTTGATACCATTTAACCTGTAATTTAATTGATTTTATTTATACAGACGAAGCATTCTTTAACAGACATGAAGTGTACGAATATTTATGAGACTGACTGTATATCTAAACCTACTAAATTTCAAGATTTTACGTCGAGTACCTCGATCGGAAAAATAAAAGATTACCCCCTCGTCTCTGTCTGTCCCCCCGTCTCTGAAAGTTAACTCTTTCGCCCAACTATCAACACCTTCGCTTTAACACCGTGTTTATCCGTCGTATACGGCCGACAGCGAACCTGAAGAACCCGTAAAAGTCGCGTGGAAATTGAGCCACGGCAAGAATAACCCAGAGTTGGCAATCGACGGGGGTCGCGGGTGACCATTGACGGGAGATCAATTTTTCCGTTATGGCGTCTCGTCCCGTTTTATTTTATCGGTTCAGGGTACCGTCGGCGGCGAGGTGTTCGCCGTCGACGACGCGAAAACGATCCCTGGACCGGCGCAGTCGCGACTCGTCGTAAGAAACTACCCCCGCGAGGGGTCGCGATCCTCCACGAGCGTCTATCGTCGCAGAGAAACGGGAGCACTTGATATTCCGCCGTTTCGTTCGGCGTAAAATATACGATGCGTTATAAATTGACAATAGGGGATGTATTAGGAATTGCGCGAGGGGGGGGGGGGGTTGCGGGGGTGGGCGACATCTATGAAAGTAAATTGGTAGAGATACTCGCGGTTCGATTCTACGATCCTTTGGAAGAACGACACGACTGTTCGAAGAAGCTTTCGTATAGAGAAAGATTGTCTCATTGGACTTTTTATTTTATACTGGCAGGCATTAATTCTGGGCGTTCGCATTCGTGTATTTAATTAGTAATTTATGTAGATAATATGTTAAGTAGAAATATTTACTCGTTACTCTGTTGTCTAATCTCCATTGCGATGGATCCAAGAATTTAACCTATTTCTCGATTTTATGAACCTTGCCATATATCTACAATATACAAAGTTCGGTAGTCGACAAGATTTACTTATTATTATTATTCTCAGGAATTGCAAGCGTATCAAACTGTATTAACTGTATTAAAGTGTATTAAAGTGTATTAAATCGCGTGATCTTATTGTTAATGAGTTAATGAGTTAACTTGTCCCGAGCTTCTGTGGAGGGCATAAAACCAGAGCGTTTTATTTACCGAAATATTCAACAAATTCAAATAATTCCTAACCGACTTCGAAAAAGGAGGTTACACAATACGACACGTACATTTTTTTTCTTTCTTGAATCGATGTAGAGAGAGATGCGAATACTTACGGGGATCGACTGTAAATTTCATCGTCCAAGGAGCTAGTCACGCCCACGTCCCGCCGAACGAACTTCCTGTCTAGGTGGCGAAGCCATTAGATGGATCAGTTGTTCGCACTCGGTGGCGGTCGATCGTGCCCGTGCATCGTGTACGCGTCGATGATACGAACTGCCCACAGCCGTTCGCCGTGTCCCGTCCGTGTTTATCCGCGCCCGCAGCCGCGGACACGAAGCCGTGAAGTTGTAAAGCTAGGCCAAATGCGGGTCTAGACGATGCCGAAGGCTGGCCGTAGCTGCCATAAAATCGAGCCAATGCACAGGGTGTATCCTACCGCGTGGGTCTTTGACGACTTTCGTGTTGGATCGAGGCCACGAATACAACGAGAGAGGCTATATACACGTAGACTACTCGACCTTATTCACGAATTATTGCCAATTGGAGGGTGCGTTGGAGTAAGGGAGGTAGCTCCATTTTTTTTCAAATTTTCCTCCTTATTGCACCCCAGGAAAAAAAGAATGTTATTGATCAGTGATTATGAAGTGGTTATGTTCTAACCTCACAATCGTACAAAAATGGAGCTACCTTCTTATTGCAGTCCTCGATTATTCCAAACTGAATTGCACGTGTTACGATGTTTTACAACGTGTTATTGTTTTTTGTTTAAGACGGAGTACGAGTTCGACTGGAAAGGACTCGACGAAGGAGATAGGAGAGCAGCTAGGTGAATATTTTAGATACACAGTATTGTCTCGAAATAAGCAACTCGGATCGGGACCGGGGAGTTGCTTGGTTCGAGGGATGTATGCTATTCGGTTTGTCTTTGTTCTGGGGAAGGAAGGGGAGAATGTAGAGAAAACAGGGGGTTCGGTATAGCGGCAAACCACATACAACTACTATTATCATTTCGCAGAATACGCACGCCAGAGAGAGAGAGAGAGAGAGAGAGAGAGAGAGAGAGAGAGAGAGAGAGAGAGAGAGAGAGAGAGAGAGAGAGAGAGAGAGAACATTACACATGTTCTGTCCTCTTTCCTAATCTCTCAATTCTTCTCGGATCTGTCGCTCACTCCAAATAAAAAGGTGGGGATAGCTGCTTATCTCGATGCGGAAAATGGTTGCCAATTTCGAGACGATACCGTAATCGCGAGCACGATTGTTTCGCAGCGAATCAGCGCGATCAATCACGCGGCGCGCTCCAATTTTTCCCTATCGGACGTTCGACGTAATTCGACGCAGACTCGTCGGCAATCCGCGATATTAATTCAGACGTGGAACATTCAATATCAGCGCGGCACGTATGCATACGTGATCGCGATCGGACGCGACGATAAGGTAACCGATTCGCGAAAGGGGAAGGCAACGAAACGCATGGCGATAGAACGCCAGCGATAAGCAGCGATCGCGAAAGGGGAAGGCAGGGAAACGCTGGCCGGGGCGCGGCCAATTGGATCGAGGATCCGGATAATGGGCCGATTGGAGTCACCAGTCGGTGAACGATGCTTCGGAACCTGATTATAAAGCACGGACCGTGTGTCATCCGTCATCGACTCGAAACGGGCTTCGTCGCGATACCGTTCGGAATCAGAGGGCCTGCGCGAACGGGAAAGTGAGCGGAATGAAAACGGCCAGGGGAAAAGTAGGGAAGAGCGATCGCGAGACACGGGATTCGCGAAACTAGTCGGTTAAGGGCAGCAATACGGATCAGGAATGGGATTCTAGATGAAGGTTTAGGGCGACATTTTTATGACTGCAACTTGTCGAGGATATCTTGAACGAGGGTGGAAGGAAAATAGTTTCTGGGCCTCCTGGTATCGAATACTTTATCTTTCGATGTAACATACATGTGCATAAATCAATTAATTCCATCAGTCGCGTAAAAATTGTGTAATAATTAAAATTGTATAATAATATTACTGACGATTATTTTCTGGCTATTCTTTCTTATTAATTTTATATACCGTTAGATGAAAGCTACGTTTGTGTTTATGCATTCTTCAATATTTTATTGAATTTATATTATGAAATTTCAAAACACAACGTTCATTATTTCATCGCATACGTACAGTTCCAAAAATATTCCTACCCTCTATGTCTATCTAAGAATTCTTTAAATTAAATGACAGGTACGACGTTTCCAAATAAATAATTCGTTAAAAATACTTTCATAAACAGCCTTCACGCGAATATATGTTTATAATAAAAACTGTATTCGGAAACATCGAACCTATCAATTAATTTAGACAAATGTCTGCGATATACATTATGTCTAAATAAATACAAATGTCTTCGATTGACTGTATATAATGAAAAATTTATTTGGAATCATCAAACCCATCATTCAGTTTAAACGAATTCCTTCAATAAACACAGAGGGTACGATGATTTATGTGACCGACTGTATATCTTTATACAAATCATGTACTTTCAATATCCATAATAAAACTTTATATTGGGCGTTCGGTATCGACGAAGATTCGCCCAAAAATCAGCGCTCTGTCCACGCTGACCGTCATGAAAGGTGCCATTTCCCCTCAGCAAACGACGCTAAGGAGAAAAGAGGAACAATGGCCCGTCGGAGAGACAGACAAAAGTACGGTGAAAAATGGAACTGTAGCTCGCCATCAGGCTGCACTGTGCACGTCGGATGCGAGCTTTTACACGAGTGGCTCGGTTAGGTACACGAGAACGCGCCTATGCTCGACGTACTCGCGTACTCTCGTACGCGCGTCGACGACGGGTATAATTGCTCGCGTGTGCAAGCGCGTCCATTAATCTGAGAACAGTTCATTGGAAAATGATCGCATTATCCCGTGCTCGGATTAATCGCGGCTCGCCGCTCGCGAAACGACCGAAGTATCGCAAGAGCGTGACCTTTGCCGAGGCACCTGTAAAATTTCCTCGCACACTGTTAAATCGATCCACGATCATCGATGGCGTCAGCACGATGGCAAATTGGACGACGTACTCCGCCAACTTTCACGCCCGGCTTCCTCCGTGTCTCGAGACACGGTCGAGTTGAGCGAAAACCGTGACGATTTTTCATCGATCGTCCGTATTCCGCAGGGTCGGTTCCTGGGAAATGACCCGACCCATTTCTTCGCTTCGTTTACTTTTACGCTGACCCCCAAAAGGCTTTCGCTACTTCGTTGGACTGTCTTTCCTGCTCGCCATCTCCAACCGATTCTTCCTTCGTCTCGAGTTTTTGCGAGCTGATGCGTTCGCGCCATTTCTCGGGCTTTTGTCATTTTGTCTTCGGGGAACCTCGGAATTTCGAGGGTGATCGAGACCGACGAAATTCTTTTACTGGATGGAAGCTTCGAGAGGTACACATCTCCGGTGTGCTTGGGAAAATATTCCACTGGACTCTCGGGAAGATGGAAAAGTTTAACCCTTTCCATTCGAGATCGAAATTATACAGAATTAATACCGAAATTAATTTTCGTAGGTCCTTAATGAACAGTACAGTCACTCGTTTCTTGGTTAAGTCTAGATTAGGCCTGATAAGATCCATTGGAAGAGGTGGAAATTGGCGGATGCGTGGGTGCAAAATATTGTGTAGGTTTATATCGATACAAAAGGAAATTAATGCTTCAAATGGCTCAATTTTCTAAAATTCAGAATAAAGTTCTTGATGGAAATTATACAGAATTAATACTGAAATTAATTTTCTTAGGTCCTTAATAAACAGTCCAGTCACTCATTTATGGGTAAGGTCTGGGTTAGGTCTTCAAAAATTTCGTGTTAATATGTGACTGCCAGTCACCTCTCGAGCGCAAAGGGTTAATAATTCACACGTACACGTTTTCAACCTGATAAAATTGCATCTCCTAGACTACTAAATAAAGCTTCATTCGTGTTTCAGTTTCCATTCGAGCAAGAAACGATCTCGACGTCATCTATTTCGCGCAATTTATGGAAGCTCGAACAGAGAAAGTGATTCGTCACCTAACTCCCGGAGCGATCTCGTTAAAAATCGAACCATGCCGGTTTTCGGATGTTCGGGTGTCGTTTGTTAGCATTTTCGGAATTTTCGTTGCGGTCGGGAACGTCGCGTCAACTTAACGCATTGTTTCGACGATTATAATGCGGCGTAGGCGTGAAAAGGTCGCGAAATTATTCAAGGGAAAATCGATTTTCCATCGACAGGTGGGCGCGAACGATAAAGCAACGAGTCGAGGGGGTCGATATTCGCTAGGACGAGCGTACGCGAACAAAACGACGACGAAGGGAGGCGGTGGGGGGGGGAAGCGGCGCTCATGTGACGCTCGAATCCAGGCCTTTGGCGTGAAGTAATTTATTCCTGGGTGATAAATCACGGTGTACCCGGGCTGAAATTGCGCGTTAAACAATAGCTCGCCCGATAACTATAACTACGCGCTTGTCGAACTGGCTCACATATAATTAGCGTACTTGACCACCGTGTCGCACGGCCGATTTCCCGGTAACTGGATATGTACGGCACACGATGTGAAATTTCATTAGCGCTCGCGAGCGTAAATACCATGCCTTTTAGGGTAATCTAATTTTTAACGTTGATCGACGCCGTGTAAAACCCGTTTCGAATATTTTATACGTGCCGCGCTCTGGTAGGGAAAATTACGTGAAACGATATTGGTCGAGAAAGATAGTAACATTTCGAATGTCCCGATTTTTCAACCCATCGCGTCGATAGTTGGCACGGTCAAGGAAAATAGAGTACGCGATACGGAATGTAGGATCAAGTTGACCGACTCTGTGTAAATTATTTTTTAATGATCATTATGTGATAGGTGCTCTCTGGTCAAGGAAAATATTCTGCAGCGTTTATATTGTTCACGAAAGAAATTATTGCTCCGCGTGCCTCGAGTTTTAAATCATTGATATTCACACTAAACCTATTGCCAGGGCGTTAAAATTCAGTCTCAATTTTGATAAATACAGAATAAAGTTGCAGATCGAAACTATACAAAATTAGGACTGAAATATTCCAATTCGAGATTGATCGACCCCGAAATAGTCGCGGTGAGTTATGGTGCCATCATACGATAGATACTATCCGGTAAAGTATTTCTCAGCCTGATTATTCGAGCGGCTGAAATTTATGCCGCTATAAATCCACCCCTGTTCGCACTCGTAATGCGGACAACCCGTTCGCGAGATTTTTCTTCGGAAAGCACTCCCCTGCAAAGTGACAACCCGGAGGACAGAACGAGACTTCTGTCTCGAAGATTTATTGGACGAATGATGGATGGAGCCTGTACGTTTTTAAATATATCGGGTGTACGCGTCAGTTTTGCAGGTTTCTCTGCTGAATTATTGGCCCGTCCAGAAAGTCTCCGCCAATTTTTGAGAAAAATTCGCGTTAGTTCGTTAAGGAACTAAAAACTATTACGGATTCGTGAATTCGACGAGGTTACAGAAATGAAATACTAGGACAAGTGTTAAGTTATAAAATCTTCAATAATCTCGAAACAAAATTTTAATTTTTTAAACATTCTCACGAGTTTCAGTCCGGGAGCCAACGTGAAGACCAGCTCAAAGAAGTGGTGGGGATAGTCACGCGACTCTTACAGAACTCTCTTCGTACTCTCTCCTTACAACTCCTTCTAGCTCGAAAGAAAAACCACATAAATCGCAATTGAAACTACGGGATCCTCCTAAACAAACTTTCCTTCCACGACTCCGCTCATCGCCATAAAACCAACGAACCGAACGTTCCCAGTCGCGAGAGAATCGCCTCGCGGGTCCTTA